TCGCTTAGACGCGACGTCACAAACACGAGTATGTTTATAAAATTGTGGTGTGTATGCTTAGACAGCCGGAAGTTAGTCAGCGTTAATGGACGTCCGGTGGCTCAGTTGTAGGCGAGAAATTTAGCCAAAGCAGTACCGCCTCTAGCCGGGGGTCTTCAACGTGCACCACGCAGTAGCGATACACGACCGGATGCCGGTGCGATGCTCATCCACAACCAAGGATACCTGAATTCTCCATCCCGACCTTTCGCTGCACGCGGTCCGAACTGCGGTGCTTTAGCAGACTCGGCCACCGACCCCCCGTTTGTATCCGTTGATATTGATATATAGTCTGGCAGATTGTGTGCTGGGCACCGCGCTTTGCCTAACGGAGTGAACCCCGATGACGTTACCGTGCCTCATCAGCGTCGGTATTGACGCTGATGAGGCTTGACGGTGCGATCGGCCCGCGCCCTTCTGCGTCGAGAGTTGGAATTACGCTCGTCAGCAGCTTGGTTCCGCGCCAGGTCTGCCCCCGGAAGGCAGGGCGTCCACGTCGTCGGGAAAACTCGGGCGAGTTTGATGGGGCGAGGAGAGAGAAAGACCCGTGCGCGAAGGAACGTCCTTGCTTCGGCAAGCCAAGGTCGTCGTCTCGGTCGCTGCGCTCCTGGCCGCGCCGAGAATCGAAAAGTTTTGTCGCTCAAACATTTTTTTCTTTTTTTGGCTTTTAAGTGATTTGAAGTCAAATTTTGGAGAAACCGAGGGAGAGGAGAAGACGAAAGTGTAAACTCTGTTTATTATTACTAATTATTATTATTTTTCGAGAACTGGGTTGCATGCGACGAATTGAGGTGGCATTGTCTGGCAGCCATCTCACGGCTGGCGCTGGTCGTCGCCGTGCCCAGCTTCAAACGTGGCGTTGTCTTTCTTGAAGCTTCTTCTGCATAGGTCCTTTGGGAGGCGTAGGCGGTGTAACAACTTTGACCTCCACTGCTTGCAGCGTAGGTCGCTCTGACTGTAGTAGGGTTTGCCCGTGCATAACAGTCGGGGTTGTGCCAAGGTTTAGGACCGTGTCAGGCGGTGTACGTCTTGCGTTCTAGCGTGCGTTTTGATAAGCTACTGGGCATTCTAGTGCATTGACGGAGGCAAACTATGGAGTTCGTGTCGTCTGAAGGTGTGCCGTACTTTGGGTGGGCTTGGAAGGCGGCAGAGAATTGGCCGGCTCTCTAACACGTGCGTCTCCGAGAAAAGCTTAGTTCATATTGTGCGATTTTGCTTCCCATTTCGCGGTTGCGACGTCGAGCACCACAGCTTCTAATGTGAATTTTTTTTTTTTTTTTTGCCGCACGAGCGACGTTGTACTTGCGAAATCGCGAGCGAAATCATACCACGGGGATCAGACATTACCGCACATCTTTGCAGGCGTCAGTCTCGCTGTCGTCGCAATAAGGAAGAGGCAGAAAAGGACGACGAGAAGACTCTTCATAAAGACTCGGCAATTCTACATAAGACGGTTTGATCGATAGATCGAAATGTAACTGCAGACTTTTCTGGGACATAAAAAAAGATTAAAAAAACAACAACACACAAACGCGTTTTTTTTTTATTTTTAGGGAGAGGGGTTGGGGTTAGAATTGACGTAGTATTTGTCGGGAACACCGCTTAGAGATATTATCACATTTCCTTAACCCACCGGGTGCGCTGACCTGCATGCGTCTCAAGTTATTAATTATACGTTTACGGGGGCGCTTCGCGGTTTCCGGATGTGATCGATCTATTCCGCTTGCGGCTAAACGCGACTACAGAAGTATTCGGAACCGCAATATATACATCTCGGCATTTAGCTGATTTCAAGGGGTCACGCCCACCTTGCCTCCAGCCTCCAATTTCCAAAACATACGCCCAGTTGTGTGCCGAGATGTCGCCGCCCTACGAACCTCTTTGTTTTATTGATCGTGGCTTCCTTCCTTCCCACACGAGGGTCCATTAATCGCCCAGCAAACCAAAAAAAAAAAAAAAAGGAAAACAGTTTTTGTTGCGCCATTTTTTGTTTGCGGATATGTCCGATTATTTGGGTGGTGGGTTCGGTACGGGCGGAAATTAGGGTCGAACTGGTGCGCGGTGGCAGCGGGTAGGTGTATAATGGCCCACGGGCGTCCCTCTCGGTGTGCTCGCTCGTCGGGACAATTGGACGCGTACACGTAGGTCGGGAAGAAAAGGCGCCCGGTATATCGCGTCCATAAATCAGGGTCGCGCAGATACGGGCCCGTTTCCTGGAAGGCGCGGAGGCTGGGGCTACGGAGCGGACAACGCGAGACGTTTGCACTGGGAGCGTCGAGGAGAACGCGTCACGGCACGCCGTGACGCTTTCGCCCTTCGGTGGGTTTTTTACAGCGGAGCTGTTAAGGGCTAGTTTCCCCAGGATCGTGTCCCCCGCAAAGAAATGAAGACACCGAACTCTGGACACCTACCGCCATCTATGAGCGACGGTGGTAAGCCAGGTATATGGTTGCCACCGTCGCTCATAGATGGCGGCAGTCTTTCCACTCGGGCTTGCCGACTTGCAGCCGGCCATTACTTTTCATTGTAGAGCTCCGCTGGTCTTCCTTCTTCACCAAAGTAGAAAAGCTGAAAGTTTTTTTTTTTTTTTTTAACATAGTGTAATATAATTTGTAGAATTTGGTTGTCTGCATTACTTTTTTCCGAATAAGAAACTATGAAACTATTTATTTTTGGCGATTTTAAATCATCAGTAAAGAAAATGTACTCGCGGAACCTTGCTAATATCGCCCCCTTTTGGTTACAAGTGGCCGGTTGTATGGATGTCCTAACAGCGGGGAGTTGAGGCCTGTTCACACAGGCAGGGCAGCGCTAATCCAGTACTGGAAACAGCTCTGACTTTAGCGTCGATGCGGCACACGCTAATGCGATGTGGACACGGCAGGGACTATTGGTGTCAGTGGCTCCGTCTCGCGTTTTGTAGCTCAGAGGTTGCAGGGAAGTGTCAGGGTACTTAATTCCGGTGACTTATTCCTTTTTGAGGTCAACATGTCCGATGCGTCATGCAAAGAGCAAGGAAGTCATTGCGGCGGACCACGGTATCAGACTGGGCGCCAAGGGTTCTTCTATCTCCAGCGTGGCATCTCGTGCTACCTCGCGGCAGTGCAAGTTGTGAGGAGGAAGCCAGTGGTGAGAGGAAAAAATACAGCGCTACATCAGCGTCGAAATCAGCGTTCATTTCAGCGGTGAGTCAGCGCTGCGCTACATGTCTAAAGTGGCCTTTAGTTTGCCTCAAATGTATACCTGATGTGTCCGTTGTAGATGAGAAATTTCCAGAGTGCGGTACGACCGTTAGCCTGAGGCCTTTAACGTGTATCACGTGGTATAGCGACACAGGACCGCACGCCGGCCCGATACATAATTATCCAAACCAAAACAGTTGTCGTGTTTTTTTTGTTTTGTTTTTTTTTTAAGTTCAATTTAGTTAAAAAGTAAGCTGTAAGCTCCATGAAAGGCGAAGGGTGGTTTGCTTGTCTCTGCAGTTATTTTGTCCTGCGGACAAGAAGCTATTTTCGAGCTCCGCGTTGACAAGAAAGTACAATGTGTGGTACAGTTAACGCAAACACAGCTAGGTTTTTTTTTTTTTTTTTTTTTTTGCATTTTAGGGTTGGTTTACAAACGCATCTTAGCATTGAATACGCAGTCAGCGCTGCATCAGCACTGTTTTCAGCGCTGACTCAGCGATGAGTCAGCGACAATAGGGCTGCGATGTGTGGCGGTGTATGTGTGAACAGGCTTCGGCAGAGTATTGCGGAGAATCAGATTTTACCAGTTAGGTTACCTCCCCGAACGAACTCTTTACACCGCATGAGTAGTTTTTTTTTATTATTATTACAGTGTTTTAATTTTGGAAAAGAAAAAGAAATCAGGAGAGGAAAAGCCGGCGATCGCTTGTTTGTTCCAAGCTCCAACAGGGTGGCGCTCTGCGCAGCAGAGGTGTGAAGGTATGCCGACTCGTGCACACATACCGGTGTAGTGTACTTCTCGCCTCTCGGCGGCCCTTTTTTTTCCAATTTTATTTCCCGTCTAGGAAACTCGCTCGACGACCCGTTCTCCTTCGCACCCCTTCGAAAATCGAAGAAAATAAAAGTATAAAAAAAGTACGATAGACATCGCGAGAAAACGCGAGATAGAGCGATAAGGGGCGTGGCACCCGTTCAATCCGGAGCCCACAGCCTCAGAAAACGGTTGTCGCCCCGTTTTCTCACCTTCGCGAAGTTTGTCACGATATACAACTCTCCTATAGACCCATGCGTCGCTTATCACCCGGGCGAAAAATGCTGAGTCACTGAGCTCTGAACGCGTGCGCAGCGTTCGATATACCGTGCAACAGATCAACAGCGCATGCTCTAAAAGTGTTCCACAGCCAAAAAGAAAAAAAAAATGGCCGCGCTCAGAAGGCGATTTTTGCAAACGTCTATAGTGTATTCGTCACCAGCGTTCCCTTCGTCTGTGCCGTTATACTTTAGGCCGTACTCGATTCGAGTCTGGTTGGTTCCTTGATCGATGTCGATACGTTCGTATCGTTGCGGTGGATCGTGTGGGGCGGTTGTGTTGCACGGGGGATATGAAGGGCGTTTCGTTTTACCGTAGTTCGGAGCGCGGCCACAAGCTAAGAACGTACTAACGCAGACACACCTACTGAAACTCTGAGAATCACGGCGCATTCACTGCGCTCACTGATTGGTGGGGACAGTTATGACGTTTCGCACGCTCTGAAAGATAAAGTGTCCCGCGACGTTGCGCTTTTGACAATCGGGTTTAACCCGATTGTCAAGAACATGTTCGGGTTCTATATAGGGGAAAAATCTCGGGTTTAACTCTTAAACGAAAAGCTTTAGGTGTACTACGTAGATTAAGCGCGTAGCACTTTTAACCTCGTAAACAACAACAACAATCACAAGGATTAGAGATTGTATGCGCGGTTCGGCGTTGGCGATCGTCTCCGGTCGTATACTCACCGAGCGTCGGGGCGGCCAGCGTGAGGTCGTGGTCGAGCATCTGTCCGAAGGCGACGAGGAGGTTCCGGACCCGTCGGTCGTGCTCGCTCACGTCGTGGTGCACGAGGAAGCTCACCATGCGGGGGTTGGGCAGCGGGCCGCCGTCCTTGGCCACGCGGGGCTCGGAGATGCCTGTCGCCACAAAGAAGAGAAAGAAAACAAACAACACGTTAGCCCCTTCTCTTTCACATGGTTACGGTAGCGATTTCAGGTACGGATAAAAAGACAAATTCTCACGGTTCAATCGCAGCCCGAACCACACTTTCATTGGACCACCTTTCAACGTCTGTGGTAAACTTTATCTAATGGCGTCGCCTTTGAAACCGCCTTAACAATGTCACTATATCAGCATTTGATTAACAACCACTTATTAACATCCTTATAATATTTTTTTGGCTGTTTGATATGCCCGTATAACCATCCCTCTGTAATGCCATCCTTGCCCCCGGAAAGACCTTAAAATTTATATATTAAAAAATAAACTATAAATTCTTCTCTCGCGGACCTTACCTGCAAAGGTTGCGGTTTAAGCAGATATTTTACTGAGCAATACATCTTATACCGCGATAAAAACCAATGGCCTTGACGCTGACAGCTTTTCTGCTGTACATGCGGCTGGACGAACGTAGTTTCGTGTGTTCCCCCTTTGAACTGGGACGAAGTGCTGCCACTGTTTACCGTCGTCGACAGCCTTCGAAACAGTGGAGACAGCCGTCTCTGCTGTCTTGGCGAATCCGGTATCTCGGGTGCGTCGGCAGCAGCCCCCTCCCTCGGCGCAGCGCGAAAGCGCGGCCGCGCCGACAGCGCGATGCGCATGCGTTCTCTCGAAAGCGGGTTGTCCCCACCGCTAGTAGAGGAATTGGCGCAATAGGCGCGCCGCCTAATGCAAAGGAGCGGAGCAGAATTAATTCATCTAGTATTAAGTATAGTTAGAGGAAAGCTGTGTGGTACAGGAAAGCTGCGACACAAATTTCAGGGATGTGCAAAAAAGAGCTTAGAATCGAATACCGAAATGTCATCTATAGCAAGGTGTGTAGTTGGGCGAGTTGGTGCACGATCATAATAAAAAATTCACAGCGCCTCTTATGCTACTCCTGAGACGACTTGAAGGCGAAAACCGAAGGGCCGGTGCATTAAAAATAAACACATGATTTACTTTAATTCAATTAAATTCCTCTTAGTTGGTTTTGCCATCCTTCTTAATTTCATTGCATCTAATTCACCTAATTGGTCACGTAAACGTTTTGGTACCATTTGTGTCGACGACGTGTTTTCGCTCAAGGACTTTGAAGGTCGACTGAACGATGAGACATATAAGCTCGCCTTTAAAACAAAGCGGAAAGAGGAACACGAGGACAGATAAAAAACACATAGATCACCGAAAATAATGCCTGGAGAAGGGGAACAGGGGGGGGGAAAGGATAAACACGTATCTCCAAACAGATAGGTGACTGGTGCGCGACCGAAAAAATCCGTCTTGTCCTGGTATCGAACCAGGGACTTCTCCACCATCATCATCATAACATAGATAATCTCGGTAGGCTTATCGAGGATGGCATCGTTTCCTCCGTTGAGTGCGCTTCCCATACGACACCGGGTGTGACGCGGGGAAGCGACATTCGCAGAGCGGACTGTTCTGCGTGCTGCGACCGTGATTTGCGCGGTGTGCGCAACCTGTAGCTTGAACGAAGGATGGCGTACTCCCCTCATGTCTTCTGTGGCTAGTGACTCCTCGCTACCTCACGCTGTAGCTTTGTCCGTAGTGAAACCTGTCTCCAAACGATCGGACTTGAGCGTGTGCGCGTGTGAGCTGAAACGAAATCTAAACCTTTATCTGTTAATGTAGCAGCAGTATGTTAAGTTTTAACATGGGCTTCTACGCAGATGCATATTATTTTCTGAAATATTCTTACGCGCCGCTTGCGTCAGAAGTCACGCATTTGTTGGAAGAATGCAGCATAAAAAACACTTGAGCATAGCGAAGGGCTTTCAATACCGTAGACTAGAACTGACTAAACTAAGACAAATGTTGTAGGCAGTTTCTTTCTGTCAGAGATCCAGCTAATAAAGCTTAATGGCTTCAACAGTGGACTTGTGCGACTCACTGAGTATGATTAGAAAGGTGATATGGCAGATCGACGCAAGATAACTCCTAATCAGGTGCGAGATATCAGGATAAGATTCGGCTGACCTGAGTCTTGTGGAATAAACAAGTAGGGCCTGTCCCGTGTCCTTTTTCTACTTGTCCTCGTATTTCCGCTATATATATATTACAATGTTCAACCAGCTAGCCTTGCAAATGATTCTGGAACAAGATTAAAGTCAGCTTTGGGGACGTCCTTGCCTCGGCACGTATACATGCTCCACAAAACAATTACAAGAATAAAAAAAATAAATGACGAACTATGCCGATCGAGTTCTAGGCTGCAGCGTATAACAGTGCATCCGGGGACACGTGTAGTATATTTATAACGAGCTTGGCTAATTAATCGTCGAGTTAGATTACAAATGACCCGCATACGTGGTGCTGGTTGTATGTCGCGAGACGACGTGAGCGCTGCGGCGTGGCTATCGAAGTGGCACGTCTAAATGACCCGAACATTGCTTTGGTATCTCTTCCCGTTTGTCGCCAGCGCCTTGGCCGAACGTGTCAACCGCCACTCCGCTATCGCCACAATTTTCTCAGGGTGCTACCGCATTCTAGCTCAGTACTGCTCGCTCGCATACGAAAAGTCGGAGGGGGGAGGAGGAGGAGGAGGAGGAGGAGGAGGAAAGGGGGTACGCTTTGTCTTTAACGCCCCTGTTCTCCTGGTGATGGGAGTTTATGGGCGGCCCTTTCATTGATGCTGCGCGCGGCAGAAAGACGCTCCCGTTTAGAGTGGCGGAGATTGTGGCGTCGCCGCTTCCAACGCGTTTGTCCTAAGGGTGGCAGACGTGGAACCACTGAATCAGCTGCGCGTCGGAGTGACGGCACGCGAGGCATCGTGACGTTTAATATCATTGTTGCCAGCTGTCTGGAACTTTATCTAGAATCGCGGGACATGGTTTTCTGACATCCAGAAATGAAATGCTAAAATAGACGGCGACAAAGCAAGATGGTATTGCCGGAGCTTTCTGGTATACGTATATCTAAATCGCAGACAGTCGCGCTTTCGAATCGAAGTTGCGCCCACTTTTCACTAAGCATCGAAATGACGGCGCCTACAAGATAACTCGGAACAGAGTGCAGAACGAATACCTTTAAAGGGTCGGCGAACCAGCTCACGCCGATAAGCTCAAGATCGCGAGCTAATTCGTTCATTCTTTAGAGGAGTTCGTTCTGAAAGCGTTTTACGTGCCCGTCTGACAGCGGTGTAAGACTGCGTTCCGAATCTTACCTAAATTGATCCGAGTTACTCCGGCGGGTCGTGTCACGTGACAACACAAATAAGGCAACGCTAGACGCGGGTAGAGGTTTTCGATCGCCAAGGTACAAAACCCCTACCCCGGAGTGAGATCGAGTAAATTTTGGAACAAGACCTAAGTGTTGCCTATTTACTGTCGAGACCTGTTATAACAAAGTCCACGGGAACCGGAAATCACTTCGCTATATCCGCTATTTCGTTATAACCGACTTCGTTACAACCGGTCTCGACAGCATAGTGGCTCCAGATAAAACTTTTCGCGTTGTCAGTCCAACTATACTGACTGGAACGCGTCTCTGACTGCCATGTGTTTACCATGTCAAAAAAAAGTGTTCTTTCGATTTTTGTTTGATGACGTCATAGAAATATCACGCTGCCGCCGGCCGCGATTCTGGCGGTGTCCCAGCAGCGGTGGCGGATGTGGCAGACGCCTGTTCTGCTGCTGGTCGCCCTCCAGGTTGGCAGACCACGGAAGCTTCGGCAGCAAGAAGTTGGGACGCCCGCGACGACAGCGACACTCGCGTCCTCTCGTGCTTTTCACCAGCATTTCTACGACCAACCGCCAGGATCGCGACGTCCGAAAGCGTGACACTCCGGCTTTTGCGACGTCATTTGTTGCTACTTCGGGACCACTTTCGATGCATGGGCGGAATAGGACGCTAGACACAACAGTCGAGATGCGTTTTAGAGACCGTAGTTTAACAAAAGAATTAATTACAAATCCCGCAAAACTTTTATTGTTTTTTTTTCTTCTTTTTTTTTTTTTTCGCAGGGTGCGTTTTGGGGTCAGTAGTAAGCTTTCGGGTTGGGTTAGCGGAGACTTGTTTTAGATTTTTTTTTTTCGTTTTCTACGTGTAATTTTATGTTTTCGGTTTTTTAGTGGCATGACTGGAAGTTTGTCGACGCAGCTTTACCGCCGTACCGTGAATGAAAACGCTGCATCTGATTTTTTTTTTTTTTTTGCATTCCGGCTTAGATTTATTTTCTGCGAAAGAACGATTTGTAAGGGTTTGAATAACCTGGATGCTCATAGGGCTTTACGGCGCGGTGAGAGGACACGATAAACAAGACCGAGATAGCTTTTTCGTTTTGGACGGTAGGACTTCCAGGTATGTCATTGCATCCAATACCGGAAGTGACAGGATGTTCTTGCGAGAGGCTCTATATATAGCGTTCATTATCTTCCTGCCACTACACTGCTCAACTTTGAACCACGAAGGCGAGCAAAGAAGGGCGAATGCTGGGCTCGAGACTGCAGCAGAATCCACGTCTCGACGATTAGACCAGACTAATGGCTCGACGTCTGAAAGCGTCTTAAACTCGAATAGTTCCTCGGGGGATTTCTTCCGCCTACTCTGGCCTCTCGAACAGTGCGCACAGCGTTGGTTCTTTTAGAAGGAGTATTTGATTTGGCTCGAGCTCTTGAAAGCGGTGCACTCGGTGCGCAGGCAGGCGTCGTTGAAAGTTGCTTTCCTTCAGCTTCGTGTGCTCTGTGGCTAAGTTTGGCGCGTGTAACGAAAACCTATATTCCTGGCGTGGAGTGGTGTCTGACCTCAACTTCACTGGCGGTCAACCACGCAGGTGTAACCCCGTTTTTTTTTGTGTTTCTTTTCGCGAGGGGCACTCACCCACTTAGCTTTTCTCATTTCCTAGCAAATAAGACACCTCTCGCCCCCCCCCTGGCTTCGCTCGTACACTCGACTGCTTTGGCGTAGCCGAGCGCTTTCA